CTGGGCGGCCGAGCTGCAGTCCCTCCTCTATCCTCCTCCCGGGATTCTGGGCGGCCGGGCTGCAGTCCCTCCTCTATCCTCCTCCCGGGATTCTGGGCGGCCGGGCTGCAGTCCCTCCTCTATCCTCCTCCCGGGATTCTGGGCGGCCGGGCTGCAGTCCCTCCTCTATCCTCCTCCCGGGATTCTGGGCGGCCGGGCTGCAGTCCCTCCTCTATCCTCCTCCCGGGATTCTGGGCGGCCGGGCTGCAGTCCCTCCTCTATCCTCCTCCCGGGATTCTGGGCGGCCGGGCTGCAGTCCCTCCTCTATCCTCCTCCCGGGATTCTGGGCGGCCGGGCTGCAGTCCCTCCTCTATCCTCCTCCCGGGATTCTGGGCGGCCGAGCTGCAGTCCCTCCTCTACCCTCCTCCCGGGATTCTGGGCGGCCGGGCTGCAGTCCCTCCTCTACCCTCCTCCCGGGATTCTGGGCATGCACGCACGTGCGCCCAGCGTCAGTTTCAAGCCTCTGGGTCTGGGACTTGAACTGCAGTTGGTCGTGTGGGAGTCCAGTGATATAACCATTACACATGTGGTGATCCCAAGTGTTTATCAATTCTTAAATGAAAGCATGGATAATCCACAATAACTTCCATCAGAAAAAAGTAAAAACACACACAACGTTGTTGTCCTGACAATGTATTCAGAAGTTAGACTGCTCCCCAGACCCGACTTCTACAGCCGGCTGATTTTGAAAAGCGATGGCTTCTCCCTGTGAACACGACACCTGTTTGCAGGCGAACATTTGAAGGCAATTATCAGGAGTAGCACATACCAGAAACTGAGCAGGAGGACGCGGGGTAGGACGCATTTGGCGTACCTGCCGCATGTATAGGTGTCCTCTTCAAAATGTAATCCTTGACTAAGATGGAGGCCCCCTGATTGATGAGCACGTCCACACACTCCACATGGCCCTTGAACGCGGCAAGGTCTAAGGGAGTCCTTCCGCTGCTGTTCCTCACGTCGAGATCTAACAGGGACTGTACCAGGACTTCCAGTGCTTGGTGGTGACCGTGATAGGCCTGAAATAAACGGGAACGTCAGTCACAACCACGTGGATTTAGACGGACTTCCAGAACTCTAGAAATGTAAAGTAAGAGGACTCCCTCACAGGATCGCTTATTTGAGATAATACAGAACTTCTGTGTTGAGGATTCAGAGTTAACGATCAGTCTCTCTAGTAATCAACAGAGTCAGGGTTAGGAGACGGGGCTCTGCCGAGAGTAAAAATCCCAATGACAAGTGACCTCTGCGTGAGTGCACCTGGCTCATGGCAGATATTCAACGGCTGGGGAACACGGACCCGTTTAAAGCTCTGATTCTAAGCCTCCGATTCCAAAGTCTATATTTTTTTAAAGAGATTTTTGCCTTAGGGTACAAGTAGTTGCCAGAGATAGCAGGGGGGGGGGAGGGGGGGGGGGAAAGAGAGAAATCACCCGGGTGATGGCCACGGCACAACCCCTTCTTCTCCATTCTCTTCTCGGGACTTTGGGCATGCATGCACACATGCCCAGTGTGAGTTACAAGTCACCAGGTTTGGGACTTGAACCATGGTCAATCATGTGGGAATCCAGCAACATAACCACTACGCCATCTGCTGGCCCCTTCAAAGCCTGATTCTTTTTTCTTTTTTGAGAGGTTTTTTTGCCTTAGGGCATGCGCTCACCAGAGAGCAGACAGAGACAGTGAGAGAAAGTGAGAAGTCAACCCCCCCCTTGGAGTGAGTTTTCAGCCACCGGGTCTGGGACTTGAACCCTCACTGGCATGTGGGAGCCAAGTGCCCTTAACTACAACGTGCCCTAGACCACCTGTCGGCCCCTGCAAAGTCTGTATTCTCGTCACAGTTCAGGGATCCACTTAACCCCCGGGTAAAATTCTGCGGTGATGAGAAGTCACAGCGCAGTCCGCAGCCTGGGTGAGCCAGTGCCCGAGTCTCTGAACCCCCAACTGAAGTGACTATGCCCACTGGACCGTGTGCTGCGCTCAGATACAGACATTTCCATCAGCGCGGGAACACAAACCCGGGCCCTGCTTGAACGTCTGCCGTGTACCAGGCGTCGTCCTAGCTGTACACGAAGGGTTTCAGGACCTGTCGGCGGAGGGCCCCTCTGTGCCTGATAAAGGGGTTCCCCGATAACCCACCTCAAAGACCAACACGTCAACTGAGCACAGACGAGTGGATTTCATACAGTCTGGAAAATGGAACTGAAACGCGAGTTTATTTGGGTGCACCCAGTTTTGAACGCTGCGCACGTCTATGGACGTCCTGAAACCACGCGGGCTGTGTGCTGCGCAGGACGCACGGCGGCCACACGCTTCGGCAGCACCAGCCAGGGGTGGGGTCGCGGGTCTTACCGGTCTCTGAGGTTCTGTGCGGGAAGCTCAGCCCCAGGGCTGGGTCACTCAGAGACCAAGGCGGCTGAAATCACCGGCTCTGCCGCGCCAGCACGGAATCTGACTGCGTCCCCGACTCCGGCCCAGCGACATCGTCAAGTGCGGGAGAGACCTCGCAGTACCCGCAGACAGCGTAAAGAGAAGAGGGAAGCCAGGAGACCGGGCCACAAGGACCTGCCGCAGGACACCCTCGCACAGAACCACGACGAGGCTGGCACACGCAGCCTGAGCAGAGCTGGCGTCAGGCCTAAGCCTCGGGTCAGGGTCTCCACCATCCCGGGATGTCCCAAACGGGAGAGCGTAGCTGGAAAAGCATGTGTTCACAACAGCCAAGAGACCGCCGCAACCTGGGTGTCCACAACACACAGTCGGGACGCAGAATGGGGTACCGAATATTCAGCCTTGAAAATGAAGGACATCCTGACAGATTTACAGTGTGAATGAGCCTGAGGGCAACAGAAAGAGAAGGACCGCACGATTCTACTTGAATGAGATTCTGCCTAAAC